TTCCGGGATTGGGTTTCTCAGGATTGGGTTTCTAGGGTTTGAGTTTCTGGGATTGGGTTTCTCAGGATTGGGTTTCTAAGGTTTGAGTTTCTGGATTGGGTTTCTCAGGATTGTGTTTCTAGGAATTGGATTTCTGAGGATTAAGTTTCTGGGGATTAAGTTTCTAGGGTTTGGGTTTGTGGGAATTGGGTTTCTGAGGATTGGGTTTCCATCATAGAATCAATCATCGAATCCCTACAGTGTGGAAACAGGCCCTTTGGCCCAACAAGTCCACACCAACCCTCAGAACATCCCACCCAGATCCATCCCCCGTAACCCACCTAATCTACACATCCCTGGACACTATGGGCAATTTAGCATGGTCATTTAGCCTGCACATCTTTGGACTGTGGGAGGAAACCGGAGCACCTGGAGGAAACCCTTCTAGGGATTGGGTTTCTGGAGATTGGATTTCTGGGAATTGAGTTTTTGGGTGGGGGAGGGTGGTTCTTGGGGTTGGGTTTGTGTTTTCTGGGGATTTAGATTCTCGGTGTTTGGGGGTTTCCTAGGAATTGCGATTCCTGGCATTTGGGATTGGGTCATTGTGGGGGCTTTGTGGTTGGGACAGTTTGAGTTTGGGAGAATTTGGGGTTGGGACAGTTTGGGGTGAGGAGAGTTTAGGATTGGGGAAGTTTGGAATTGAGGGGAGTTTGGCTTGTGGAGAATTTGGGGTTGAAAGAGTTTGGGATTGAGGGTGTTTGGGTAGGACATTTGGGGGAAGTTTGTGATTGATAGGAGTTTGGGGTTAGTTTGGGATTAGGAGCGGTTAGGGATTGAGGGAAGTTTGGTTTGGGCAAGTTTGGCGTTGGGTTCAAGGGGAGTTTGGTGTTGGGGGATTTTGGGATTCAGGAGGAGTTTGTGATTGGGTGGAGTTTAGGGTTGGGGGATTTTGGGGTTGGGGGTGTTGTGAAGTTTGGTGCTGGGGTAAATTTGGAATTGAGGGCAGTTTGGGGTTGGGAAGAGTTTGTGATTGAGGGAATTTGGGGTGGGGGGTGGAATTTGGGTTTGTGGGGAGTTTGGAATTGAGTGGTATTTGGGTTTGGGGGAGTTTAAGGTTGGGGAAATGTTTGGGGGTGAGGTGAAGTTGGGTTTGAAGAAATTTGGGATTGGGGCAGTTCAGGACTGAGGAGATATTGGGTTTGAGCAGAGTTTGGGGTCGTGGGGAGGTTGGGTTGGGTTTTGAATTTAGGAGAGTTTGGGCTTTGGGGCTTTGCGGGGGGAGTTTGGGGTTGGGGCAGTTTGGGATTGAGGGGAGTTTGGGATTGGGGCTGAGTTTGTGATTGGGGTGAGTTTTGGATTGGGGCTGAGTTTGTGATTGGGGTGAGTTTTGGATTGGGGATGAGTTTGGAATTGAGGGTGAGTTTGGGATTGAGGGGAGTTTGGCATTGGGGGGAGTTTGCAATTGGGGGTGAGTTTGGGATTGAGGGGTGTTTGGGATGGGGGGTGTTTGGGATGGGGTGAGTTTGGGATGGGGGTGTTTGGGATTGGGGGGACGTTTGTGATTGGGGTGAGTTTTGGATTGGGGGTGAGTTTGGAATTGAGGGTGAGTTTGGGATTGAGGGGAGATTGGCATTTGCAGGGGGAGTTTGCAATTGGGGGTGAGTTTGGGATTGAGTGGTGTTTGGGATGGGGGTGTTTGGGATTGGGGTGAGTTTGGGATTGTGGGGGAGTTTGGGATCAAGGGGAGTTTGGGATTAGGGGTGAGTTTGGGATTGGGGTGAGTTTGGGATTGGGGG